TTGCGAGCGTGGGCTGTGAGAGCAGAGGAATGGGGGAGGCACTGTAGGGCAGAGGGAAAATGGCTAGAGGCACACACATCTCAGCACCATACTCCACCATCACCCAGAGCACCCCACGCCCCCACCCTGCATTCCTGTCACGTGATCAGTTCCCTCCACAACAATAGATAAAGGCTATGTGCTTCTTTCTAGGCCCTTGGCGCCGCGCTCGGGGCCGCTCGCTGGTTTATTGACAATTGGCCCTATTCCGATTCCTCGGCGCCGGCTTTCTGATCGACCGACTACATCATCACACTGCGGGTTGACGACTGATTTTCGTTCCTGTTGTAGGTTGCCCATGCCAGCTTGGATACCATCGTGGACCTGTATTGTAGTCCCCACTCTGCAACAATTTCCTTCAGGATGCAGCTTTTGGGGGCGTAAAAAGGGGAGGCCGCCGGCCTTCAGCTCACCCCTCCCCACGCCCGGCGAGGTCTTATGTCTTTTCTTCATCATTGACAGCCACTTCACCCTTCAACTTGCACAAGTCAACACCTGCCTCCAGCATCGCTATCGCACTTGACCAGTCACCCTCTAATATGCATATCGCCGTCGTCGGCACCAGTCTCAGTGGCCTGGTCCTCGCATGCGTGCTTCAACAAGCCGACATCGGCACCTCGGTGACAGTATTTGAACGGGATCCCAGGAATCGAATCGCAAAGACAAGGCGGCACGCTCGACATTCAAGCACATGAAGACCAGTTCGCAATGCAAGGCGCCGGGCTTGCGGAGGAGTTCAAGAAGATCTCGCATCTCGAGGCGGAAAGGATGATCATTGCCGATCAATGTGGGAATGCTCACTACTGTGAAGCTGCACATCAGGCGATGGGGCGCGACGATCGTCGCTCGTCGGGGTTATCCCGATGGAAATGTGCCAATGGAGACGTCCGATGGCCAAAAGCAAGTCGAACTTTACGACCTACTCCTTGGTGCAGATGGCGCGTGGCCCAAACCGTGCCGCTCTTTACGTGAAGCTCAACCCGACATACATTGGCGTCACATTCGTCGAAATGTAAGTGACAGATCCAGACGATGCGCTGGTAAAGCTCATCGGTCAAGGCAGCTTCTATACGCCGGGGAACAACAAGGGTATCATAGGCCAGCTTAATGTCGAAAAGTATGAGGTCTACGCTGCATTGCGCGTGAGCCTGGGCGCGATCAAGCTGCCAGGAAACATGCATAAGGTGAAAGAAGCGCTCTTGCGTCTTGTAGAAAGCTTTGCACCTACCGTGAGGGCCCTGGTCGAGCAGAGCAGCGAGCAGGTTCGAGGTACACCGTCCGACCGTTGGTCTCGTTCGAGCACGAGGATGATGTCAAGGTGGTTGCGGGCGATTCGACTGTACTCATGAGCGATGTAGCGCACCTCATGTGCCCCTCCTCCGGCTCCGGCGCTAATTTCGCCATGCTCGATGGCTTCGAGCTCGCTCAAGGGATCGATGGTGCTGCTTCGAGCGAAGAATAAAGGCGCAAGGCGATCCTCGCAGCGGCGCTAGATGCATTTGCGAACAAGTCGACCGAGCGCGCCAAGGCAGGTGACGCCGAAGGGAGGAGGGGCAGTATATCTTCATCTCCACGAGGGGCGACGCGGCCCGCAGAACGGCAGAGGTTCTGCGGGCTCACATGAGCCAGGGGCGATATCCTGTTTGACGTAAACGAACCTCGGGATCTACAGCACACTCGAACATTGGGATTCATCTGTATCAATAGCGTTTGAACTACGGCATGTATCTGTGATGTTCTCATGGGAATTTGGGAATGTAATTTATGGCCTCTTGCAGTTTGGTCGATACTCGATTGCTTGCGATATACGGGACCGCTCGACGTGATCCGAGAACAGAAACAGCCTCATTTGTCGGGTGTGCCGTCGGTCCATTGCCCATGTGTGAGGATTTTGTGTGTGAGCAACATCTCAGCATTGCTTGGCATTCCGCGATCGGTACCAACAGTCTACAATCATCATTAGCAGTACATAACGCTGGGGCCAATAGCAACTTCTCCGCACTCGTAGCCACCGCGGTTCGCCAGGCGCGCACTACCGTTTCGAGTGTGTAAAACAACTCTATCCAACTGGCAGTCGCCTCGTCGCTGTGACGGCCGCTTGCGGCTTGAGTAGAGACTTGCTACGAGCTAGAACATTAACGAGTGTCTCGCGAGCGCAGAGCAGACCCGTCGAGCATGCACTTGTTGAAGGAACAAAGGAAACAGAAAGTGGAGAACTCTGCCCCATATAACATTCACCACTTGATGTTGTTGGGGAGCCGTACACATGGTTCCGCCCCCAAGTTGCATCACCACCAGTGCGGGAACCATCTTTCCCCAGGCCGGTGGTGGTCTGCGTGGGTCTTACCAGTATATTTGCTTGAAGAACGACCACTGCATACACGCCTACCATCGACCTTGGCGCTTTGGCCTCGCATCTTCGCAGCGGAAAGCTTTTGAGATGCGCCGGAATGGGCCTCAACGAACGCCTGCGCGCTGCGCTCGATGCTCGACAGGCAAAGGACACGCTCCGGCGTTTGACTCGCTTCGATGATCCTACCCACGAGGACATTGCCGAAGCGCAATTGCTTCATGGGCGAGCGCTGTCCGCAGAAGGGAGGGGAAAAAAACTCTGGACTGACTTCTCGTCCAATGACTACCTGTCTTTTGCCACGGCTCCGGCGATGAGGCACGATTTCATGCGGAGAATGCAACAGTACGAGCGCGATCATCCGAATCAACCCTTAACTGGAAGCTCTGGCAGCCGCTTGCTTGACGGAAACAATGTCCTGGCGGAGGAGGTGAGGAGCTTTCGATAATGTCCTCTATACTATAACGCAGTCGTTCATTGCTGGATTATCTTACAATGCCGTAGGTCGAACTCGCAATCGCCTCACACTTCCATTCTGAATCAGCATTGCTGTTCAACACTGGATTTTCGGCGAATGCGTCTCTCCTAGCCGTTTTACCCAAAGAAGGCGACTTGGTGCTATACGACGAGCTGGTACACGCAAGCATGCACGATGGAATTCGCAAAAGCCGCGCGCGGTCGCTCGCATTTGGGCACAACGACATGCACCACCTCGATCAGCTGTTGCGCCAAGAAAGAGCAGCACATGTACCGTGCTCTTCGACGGCGCGCACGGTCTTTATTGCTGTCGAGTCCGTGTACAGCATGGATGGAGACATGTGTCCGCTCCCGAGCCTGTGCGATACCGTGGCACGACACGTTCCGCGCGAGAATCGCTGCCTCATTGTCGATGAGGCGCATGGAGTGGGCGTCTACGGCGAGAACGGAAAAGGCTGTACTGTTGGGTTAGGGCTAGAAGACGCCGTAGATATCCGACTCGCAACATTTGGCAAAGCATTAGGCTGCTCAGGCGCGGCAGTACTGTGCTCGGAGCTCGTCAAGGCTTTTCTTCTGAACTACGCGAGGCCATTGGTGCGTGCTGACCTGGCCATGACAAATTCAAAATTTCTTTTCCTTGCAACTGACTCCCTCGATTTGAGCAGATCTACTCGACCGCGTTGCCGCCCAGTGCCCTTCTCTCCATACAAGCCGCGCTACATGCGCTCGTCACGCCCCTGCACGCCGAGAATCAACGCCGCGTGTTAGACAACGCTGCTCTTCTCCACCAGTTGTTGCATGGCCATGCTGCGCCTCCGCTCCCATCTGCCTGCGCACATCATCACTCATCGCTCAGCTACCCTTCGCCGATCGTCCCACTTCTGTCTCCTCGACCTAAAGCACTCGCCGCGTTCCTGCAGCAAGAGGGCCGCATGATCGTGCGCGGCATCACTTACCCGACCGTGCCCAAAGGCCAAGATCGCGTGCGCATATGCGTACATGCGAGCAATACCGAGGAGGACATCCGCGCACTCGCACACTTGATACACGATTGGAGAAGGAAGGAAAATGGATCACTTTGCCCAAGTGTTGCTGCGCGTCCGGCGGACACTGAAACGCGCCATGAGCACACGGCGCGGTTCCACGCTTTGCCGATGCAAGCTCGGCCTCAGGGAAATGTCACTGCCAAGTTGTGAGGGAGCCAACGACGTGTACAATCACTCGCTGTAGAATTCGTCTATATGCGAAAGGTGATCTGTTCGCTGCGTATGCAAACTATTGAGGTTAAAAGCAATGTAGGGAGGGCATTGCGGCGAAATAATACCATGGCCGTTTACGCATAGCATTCTGCACGCATCTTCTCCACCCAATCTTCCAGTTTTGTAAGCCCATTCTTGCCGAATCCCTTCCATTCGTGCTTTGCAACGCTCCCGCCGTCTCCGCCGGCGCTGCCCCAGCTGGTGCTCATCAAACTCGGCTCACTGCTGTGCCACGACACGTCGCGCACCGTGTTAATCACACGTCTGTCGCGACTCGGCACGGGCGGATCGGACTCCGGTGCTGAGGGGTCGTTGGGCTGCCTGCTACGCCCTGGCACGGGAGAGATAAGAGGCATGGAACGCGAGCGATCGAGCGTCTGTACTGTGCGGCCATCCAGAGACCATATCTGCAGCCAGTAAAGTGTTCAGTGAGAACTTATTTAGATGCACTTCGGGCTTCACAAGGCGGGAGGAGCCCACGCGGATGCCAGATACTCACGTGAATACGACCATCTGCGCTACCTGAGTAGACATACTGCTGTCCAGTCGTGGCGATGGGACTGAAATTGCAGCGAATGAGCGTCCTACACACCGCATGCCCACGATACGTCATCAGCGAGTGGTCTTTCCTTTCCCTGAAATGGGACATCTTGCCCGAGATGGGGGAGGCTGCGGCATCTCCATCCGACATCATCCGCAGATCCCACAGCTTGCACGCGTGATCCTTGCCGTTCGATACACAATACCGCCCGTCGCCCTTGGGCGCGACGAATGTTAGGCCACCCGAATGCCCTTGCAGCGTTCCTGCTGCTTTGGCGTTGCTGAGCGATCGCCGATCCCAGACTTTGACTGTTCCGTCGTCACTGCCGCTCAGAAGCATGTTGGTGCTGCCGGCATCGGCAAAGCAGACGCTGTTGACGTCGTCGCTGTGCGCTTCGATGGATAAGACGCGCCCCCGCGCTTCGATGTCGTACACATAAATATCGCCAGCGCGCGCTCCGGCGACTATCTCTTTGCCGTTTCCCGAGAAGCGGATCGAGAAGAGCGCGTCGCCGTAGTAGCCGTTGGAAGAGGATTGACCCGTAAAGTCCAACATGACCTGCTGGCTGTCAGCAGTATTCATCCTCGCTCCATGATTTGATAAAGCAACAGGAGCACCGGGTTCGGAACCCATCACGCCCTCCGCGACGTCCGCCGTCGGGACGAGGTGGACGTGAGGCGTGAGGCTTGAGTAGATCATCCATCGATTATCCGGGCTGAGATGCGCATCGCTGATGGTCCAGTTGCACATCCTACCTGCGATGCTGCGCCTGAGTTGCAGCGAGGTGGTGTGCGAGCTCTCGTCTTCGTGGTACATTTGCCGCAAGCGATGCCGGAAGCCGCCGGAAAAGCCAAACTCGTGCGTTTCGGCGCGGTGCAGCGGCGCGATATTCACGTCGTACATCTGAACGCGATAGTCTTGCGTGCAGGTGTAGAAGAAGGAGGAGTCTGCGAGGGCAGTGAGTGGCAGGCAGGGAGAAGAATCAGCGAAGTGATGGAAGTACGCAATCAAGAGCGTGACTGAGATTTGCCCTGAGAATATTGCCCGCAGTAGCAAGCACTTCCATATCTCGCAACCTCGACACCATCCGAATTCGGTACATATGCCTGGGTGCATCTGAGAGTATCAGTTGTCCAATCAAGCAACCAGATAGAGAAGCAAGGATCCTCTGAGAACTCACGCCAAGCTGGCTTCTTGCCAAGGCATTCGCCTCTGTCTCCCCAGCTCTAGCGCCGCTACCGCTTGCCCTCGCCGTTTTGCGGGCGTAAATCATATCCGCCAGATTACGTGACTGCGAAAAAGCAGATATGCCCGCGGTGTGTTGTGATGCGCGACCGTCTTCCTCGCTTTCCTCGTGTGGCACGAGGAAAGCGCTCCTCTGGCCTCTGCGCGAGGACGTGAATATAGCGCCGTCGTCACTGCTACTAGCGCTGCTGCTAGTCCGCCTGCTAGTCCGCCTGCTTCTTCGACGTTTGGAGTTGTAGCCAGAGGTCAATGGCGAGGTATCTCTGGTGCTTGCTGAGGTTGATGGCAGCAGCGTGGAGAGAGATGTGTGCCAACGAGGCAGTCGTCCGAAGTCGCCGCTCAGCTTGGCTTGCAGGCCCGCAGCGATTGGACGTTCGACGCGGTCGTAGAAGCCCTCTGGATGACCGTGGAGCATTCGAGTGTCTTTGAGCGTAATGGAAGAGATAACAGAATGAGCAAGCGTCAGTCATTCGGAAAAAACCAAAGGAGGCGATTCAGAGGTGAAGGCACCGTATACGTAGCTGTACACTCCCACATCATCGTCATCGTCCTCATCAAAGTCTTCTTCGTCTTCACTGTCATTCAGGCCCTGTAAAGCAGCCGAGCATCATTGGTAGCGAGTGAGAACATGGCCATGGGGGGTTACGGTCAGATGCAATGCGATGAAAGTCACTCACAGCGTAAAGTCCGCCAAGGGGGGGATTGAAGAGCGCCTCGTCGAGATCAACCTCATTAAGGTTTCCGTCGTCGTCGTAGAAATCCTCCTCATCATCCTCCTCGCCAATGCCGACGAGGCCCATCTCCTCGAGCTCGGCCATAGCGAGGTGACGCAAAGCGATGTCGTTCATCACAATTTGTGCTTCTCCAGCGTCCATGTCATCATCGAGATCTTCGTCGAGATCCTCTCCTTCCTCTTCCTGGTCGTCAAAGTCGTCCAAGTCTTCTTCTTGATCATCTTGATCCGTCTTTCCAGAAATTAACACAGAGATATGGTCTTGAACTGAGCTATGCACGGCAATTTCCTGATTCTGTGCTGAGCGGGCTGGCGCAGTGGTGGCGACGCTATCGACGGTGCCACCACGCCTCCGGCCGCGGGTGGCGACGGAAGGGGGCATTTCGAATGACTTTCGAGACGGTGGACACGGTAGTGGCTTAGCTGGGAGGGTTTGGAGTACATCTGCTGCTCGCCTTCCTCGCAAGCAGTGGTAGACCGTCAGGGATCAATGTTTGCTCCTGCAGGCCAGATGGCTTGGCGAGCTCCTTTCGCAATAGCAAGCTGCGCCAAACGCCGCGATTGCCACCAATCGTATGCGTCGGCTTGACTGTTGGACGAGTGTAATAAAGGCCACAGCCCCAAGAGCAAAGGCACTACACCAGTCTATTGTGTCGATTGCAGCCAGGCACCCGTTGATTCGGTGCAATCTGCTCGTCAGGTCGGTGTGGACACCACTGGTACAATATCGTGCTTTCATGGTCCACATGCTCTGTATTCAACACACCAAGCGCGTCTATGGACTTTGCGCCGACAAGGTAGAGCCACTCGTATAAGGGAAAGTGTGCTTTCACATGGAAAGAAACGATTACCCCTTCGCGCTTACATCTCATTCCGAAGTCTCTCCGTCCAATCACTCAAGCTCGTCAGTCCGTTCTTGCCGAACCCCTTCCACTCATGCCGGACGACGCTTCCGTACGTGCCCCGCCCGCCTTCCCACGAAGCACTCATCAGAACCGGCTCCGTTGGGCTCCACGATACGTCACGCACGCAGAAATTCGTCCGCGGCGCCAAGTCCAGCTTGGCGCGCTCGAATTCAGACACGGGCGCCAGAGGGTCCGCAGCGGGCAGCACGCCTCGCGACCCCCATATGTCGTCGCGGGTGTTAAAGATCGATTGGGCTTTGGCACGGTCGAGCACCTGGATGAGCTGCCCGTCAAGAGACCAGATCTGTGCGGAAGGCAACGTCCGATCAGCAACGAATTGAAAGAGAAGTGCTGATGAGCGCTCGTCTGCTAGGCATGAAAGAGAGGGGCTCACATGAATGCGACCATCTGCCGAGCCAGAGTATACGTACTGCTGCCCCGTCGTCGATGCGGGGCTGAAGCGACATCGAACAAGCGTGTACAGCACGCTGTGCCCACCTGCAATGGTCAGAGATGAAGAGTAGTCAGCGCGTGCCGAAACCCCTGCAGCTGGGCCAAGGCCCCAAACTCACGGTACGACATGACGCTTGCATCCTGCGGGTGGTTCATGTAGCGCGGCCGTGGATACCTCGTTGTGCGATAGTCGAATCGCGGGATACCGAAGTGCGTCGTGCGATCGACGCTGCCCTCGCTCTTCATCATCCGTAGGTCCCACAGCTTGCATGCCTGGTCCTTCCCATTTGACAACAGATACCTGCCATCGCCTTTCGGGCACAGGTAGCTGATGCCCTCCGTGTGGCCCGGTAGCCAGCCTGCTGCCTTGCCACCACTGAGCGAACGGCGGTCCCATACCTTGACAAACGAGTCGTCGCTGCCGCTGATGAGCATATTCTGCGCATGGTCGTCCGCAAAGCACACGGCATTGACATCGTCGTTGTGTGCGTCAATCCCGAGAACCCGGCACCGCGCCTCAATGTCGTACACGCAGATCTCCCCGTTCTTGGCGCCTGCGATGATCTCCTTGCTGTCGCCCGAGAAACTCAGAGACCAGATCGGCGAGCTATCCCGCGTGTCTCGGCCTCTACCACTGGCCTCGTCTGCTGCTCCGAAATCGAGCACTACCTGCCGCTGGTCTGCCGAGGAATAAGCTGCTGCAGGAGTGGCACCCCCGTCGTCTTCTCCAGCGTTATCGCCCGCCTGCTCGTGAGACGTGGGAATGAGCGTGACGGCGCTGCTGGCCGTCGCGTAGATCATCCAGAGATTGTCCGGGCTCAGAACAGCGTCGGTCACTGTCCATCCTCCGACACGGCCTCGTACGCTCTTGAGCTGATGCAGTGTTGTGTACACCAAGTCGTCATGGTCGTCTAACCCATCGTTAGCCATCGGACGCAGTCGACGCCGTGCGCCACCAAAGTCAGGCGCCGCAATGTGCTGCACAACCGTGGAAGGTGCTTTCGTCGCGTCGTACAGCTGGATCGTAAAGTCTCGACAGCAAGTGTAGTAGAAAGAGCCGTCCGGAGAGTACGCAGCGACGTAGACAGGTGAAGCACTGTACCGTGTCACCTCGACGCCCTCATGATTGGGCACGTAGGCGGAGAGATCCTGCTTTGGAATTGCGTAAGAGTGTGCTGAATTGCTGCAAGAAAAGCCGCCAGCCAGAGGACTCGCACGAGTTCGCCAGCCAGCAATGCGCGACGAGAGGTTGAAAGGCCGCTGAAACGCCGAGCTTTGCCATTCTCGCGCCTTTCCTTTGTCGGGCGATCGGACCATGCACGCGTTGTCAGCCTGCTCTAATGCGTATCTCGCCTGTGCAACCTCACGCCTAACGCGGCCAAACTCGCCGCTCCAGCGCAGCTCTCTGCCTGCCTCCAAGCCCTCGGATATCAATTTCCAGCGATCGCTCATCTTGCGATCGAAGCGACAGGTATTGCTCATCCACCAGTACCCACCGCCGTCTGAGTCATCGCTGACCTCTTCCTCTTCTTCTCTATTGGTACCTAGATGACGATTCCAGCCGCTCCCTAGTGCATATTGGTGGTTGTTCCCATCGACGATGCGCAGTGTGCGAGCTGCGACGAGCTGGCGCAGGCCATCGAGACCCAGGCGCTGCAGAAGGAGTGCCATGGCGGCAGACGGGGAAGGGGCAATGTACTCTTCCTCTTCCTCTTCTAACTCTCCTTGAACATCACTAGGTTCATAATCCTCAGCTCCATTCCCAGCTTGGGCGGTCTGCTCAGCAGCAGTTGGGAGCCGGTAAGCTGAGTGCATATTGGGAGACAGAATCAGCATGCTTTCGGCCACTGAGCAAACACCGAGCAGAGCTGCTCACCAAATAGATCCAGCTCTTCGCCCACATCCATTTCTTGATGGAACGTAGCTTCGTAGCTGCTGCGCGGCAGAGAGGAGCGATGAGAACGGTACCGTGCTTGAATTCGTCTCGTCAAACACTCACGCGTCCTCAACATCCATCCAGACCTCCTCCTCGTCGCCCCCGACATCATCGCCACGCAGGTACCCGTAATGATAGTACACTTCCTCCTGGTTATCCCCCTCGGTGTCTTCAAACTCGTTGCAGGAATCCTCTTCAATGTCAAGACCGACCGCGGTGAGGTCGATCTCGGCTGGGTGCCTTCGATCCGCTTCGGAAATGCTAGGCTCCAAAGGCCCGCTCGAGGGGGGCGAAGAGCGATCGGACTCAGACATTATGAGCAGATCAGTGAATACTGACGGCCTCCCTTGCGATGCCCTTTGCTCCTAATGCTAAGAGAAGGCCATTCATCACGCACCTGCAAACAATCCGGTCAAGGCAGGTGAAGGAGTTGGACAACCACCCATTAGTTGAGCACGGCGGAGAGGTTAGGTTGCGTTGCCGCGAGAGCCGAGTTACAATTTGTGCACCGCCGGCAGACAGTTCATACGGTTTCTACCCCTTCGTCCGCATCTAAGCTTTCTACAGTTTGCCATTATGCATTCCGGTGTTACTCTTGCAGACAGAACTGAGCGTCTGCTTACTGAGTGCACTCACTACATGAGGCTGTTGATCAAGGAAAACTCCTCGTAAATTCGTATCATACTAGATTAGATTCTGCTGCGCTTTTCAAAGTGCCACGGCTGAAACGGTGCTGCAACTACGGTAAGCTTGTGAATATTGATGGTCGGCTTGCAAATGAAGCTAGCTGCGCGTGAGCGAGTTCGCTTGCAATGCTATCGAAAGACACCACACCAAGGCGTCCTGGGCATCCCAGAACGTCTAGACGAATGCTGTGTAGCTGTCCGGGGCTGAGGAAACTGCCCCGCAAGCGCCGTCGCGTCCGTCAAAGGCATCGTCACTGCCGCCGCTGCCACCTCTGTACTTGCTGTCGTTGTCGTAGTTGCTGCACCGGCCACCGTCTCGGGCCCTTTCTCCAGCTGGCTTGCATCGGGGCGGTTGACGCTGCGGAGCGGTGTAAAGTCGTAGCGACAGGTAGGACACGACGGCCTGCTACGAAGCCAGGGGTCTACACAAGCTGCGTGGACTGATAGAGCACACAAAGTGCGAAAAGCGGTCAGAGCCAATTTCCAATCCACATTGCGGTATCCGGAACTCACACTCGTGCTTTGCATAGCAGGCCAGGACGCGGATCATTTCACCCGTGTTAAAATCTTCAAGGCAGATCGAGCAGGTTTCGGTCGGCACACTTGTGCTTGTCTCCGGGGATCCGCCTCGAATGGCACTGCGTCCTGCCCCTGATGGGTTTAGAGCAGCAGCGCTTGAGGGACAACAAGGGCTGGACCGAGTAGATGCTGACGGCAGAAATGTGGAAAAACGTGAAGCTGAAGATTCCGGGCGGTCGGATAGGGCCGCTGATTGAGCGGAAAATGGTCCGAGTGGTACCAGTGCTGGTGCGGAGGTAGAAGCAGCGACCGATGTGCACGGATGTGGCAGCATTGCTGAAGGTGAAAATAACACCGTATCATCTGGAGGTAAGTGCACCTGTTCGGGTAATGGAAGCACCGGTGCGCTGTGCGCAGCAGCAGCAGCCACATATCCTCTGGTTACTGTCGTCGGCACCGTCTCTTCATCGTTTGCGTGATGGTGCTGCGGAGCAGTCAAGGTCGACTGGCTGCGCCTGCGCCTGATGGGTTCAGCGGGATCGTCTTGACCGTACGTGTACGTCTTGAAACTGTCGATAACGTTTTGCGAAAGGCCTACTCCGCGCAGACGAGCTATCGCACGCACCGTTCTCGAGTCGGGCCGCCCGACTCCAGCAACGACGGCGAAGAGGATGAGAACTACGGTGACTCCGATGACCTTGGTAAGGAAGACTGGGAGATAAGAACTGGAAATATAGGGGGGATGTGGGAGGAGCCACTCACAGAGCCAATGATCGTGGTAGAGCCGACGTTGACGTTATCGTTGATGAATCCACTACTGCCGTAGGTACTTGCGGCGGATGAGTCCACAAATGCAGCGGCGTCACCAGCACCACGCATGACGATCGTTGGCCACGCGGCTTCAGCGTTATGAGTACTAGCAGAGGGGATGGTTGAGGGCGAACGTAAGAGTGTCGATGGCTGATCGTCACTTTCGGCGACGTCGACTTGGACTGTGACGGTAGTTGGAAGATGCATGGGGGCCTTGATGCTTGTTGGTTAGAGTCTGCTGCCCTGGGCGTTGTTGTTGGTCAAACAAGTTCACAGGAGTCATCGGTGCGGCCGTTGAGACAGATGAGAGCATGACGGTGATGGTGAGAGGTGCTGGGATGAGCCTGACGGAGGTCCTTTGAAGGCGTCATGCCCTAACAACTGTTCTGTTTTATGGTCTTGATGTGACTCACTTCCTTGGCACGCCAAAATCCAAGCCACTCGTGGGAAGCCATTAATTCAAGAGCCGCAGAACACAAGAGTCAGGTTGCCAGCCCTCACGAACACCCGAAATGCAATCGCAGTCTACATGTATTGTTGGCTCTTGCAGCGGCGATTATACAGCTTTCGCAATGCTTTGCATTGTGCTAAGCAATCGCAGGGAGTTGCAGGGCGGGACAGAATAGGCTTCGCAAGCATCGCATGCGTATCCAAAGTGTCGCCAACCTGAATCGAGTGCACATAGTTGACGATGCAACACTTAAAACCATACATGTGATTCAGCATCCCTTCCACCCCTCCCTTGTATTCCCTTGTATGTTGAAACATAACCTGTAGCCGAACTAGGACGGACTCCTCCCTTAGCGCCGGCCGCACGTCCCACCGGACATAGCTTGGAGTGAGGGGCACGGGCTTAACGACCTGGCTTCCTACCTGGCGCGACCCAGTCTCCTGCAGCAGCCGTGACACAAGCCGCAATGGCCAATACGTTGCTATACTGTTCATACACCACACGGCCCCTCGGTATCTGCCTAACGGCATTTCGGGCGGTCGTGTCCGCAGCACGTTTCCCATAATTTGGCGGTGGTCTCATAGCCCGCAAGGCCCAAAACCGAGTTTGTCTCTGTTGGCGGTAGTTGCTAAGGGTAGAGCCTTGACGAGCACACTTGCCAGCACTTCAATACTCTACTGGAGAATGAGAGCTACGCATCTCAGTCCACGGACGAGACGATCAAATTACATCACACCGTGCGAACCCTTGAGTCCGGAGTGCAAGAGGAGGGCTCATGGAGCTTGAGAGGCGGTTGCGACAGTTGCATCTGCCATTGCGAACTTCTTGTGCGCCTTAGGGCGGTGCCGATATGTGGGAGCACGGAAGGCTTGAGCAAGTCCAAATATATCTCTTCAAACGTAGTCAATGCAAGCGGGTCAAGCAAGCGCTGCACGAGCGTCTGCGTCCGACAGCCAGACGGAGGAGCGATGCCATTGAATCGTTGCAAAAGAGAATCTAAAGCCTCCGCCGCACCGAGGAAATCCTCGCTGAGACGCTCGCCAACGATATCGCGTGTCGAGATCAGCAGGCTGATTCCATGTGCGCACATCTTGCTGTCCCACAAGTCAATGACGGCGGGGATGATGGTATCGTCTGGTACGAATAGATCGGTGTGGTGGGAACACGTGCGCCTGGCACGTTGGTATAGATAATTTTCCAGACGATAGGCTCGCTGAAGACATGTTCCATGATCAAATTGTTGTAGGAGAAAAATTGTACGCCAGCAAAATGCCCCACAGAGTTGTCTAGACAATGTGACCGAGTGAGCGCAAAAAGCATCCGTTGAATTTAGGTAGGAGTGCAACATCAAGAAGTCGGCAAGTTCAGGATGCACTTTCATCTGATACATAATGCTATTCGCGACACATGCCGACGAACAGTCCTGCGTTCAGGTGTTTCATGATGTTCTCGATGTTGATTGGCAAGCCACCGAGCACCAAGCAAACACGAGGCGGCGTGAGCTCCATAGCGTGAAGCGGTTACACTTATCTACTCCCAGGCCGTGCTTTCCTTAAGCAACCGCAGGGGAAATCCGGCAGTCCGCTTCAGGAAACAACGCTCTGCCATTTCGCCTTGCAAAAGGCTTTGTCGCAGCATCACCCGTGTTCTGGAAGCTCTCGCAGCCCAAGCGAAAAAGAGAGATGGATCGGATTCAGAGGACTTGACATGCTGTTCTGGCCATACCCTTTTGTGATGTGTGGGATCTGTCTATTCATACCCCAGTGTGATTTGGGGACATTTCAGTCTGGCAGGAGGGACAAGAATTAGGGATGTTGTGTGCAACATTACTATACGAGGCGTTGGCGGCGAATCGGGAAGGCACACTGTGCTAGTGCCGGCGGCCCGCCCATTTTCGACTGCTAAGCATGACCTACCAAAAGAACCCAGGTGCGTTCGTTCATCATTCACTGCAGACATCATTTCTTGCGTATTTATACTCGGCATCCGGCACCTTTTTGCCTAGACTCTGACATCTGACACGCGATGCACATCCACAAGAATGGTGTGGGATACTGCTTGGAAACATTGTATTCAAGTCGGTTAGCCACATGATCTTCCATTCGAATCTATTTGTATATGAAATCACACACTCCAGGACTCGAATCCTGTATAAGAGACACCGCTTCCCTTGACAACTTTGCCCATCACGACCGGCGTCTTTCCGTCGGAGCCCTGCTTGAGTAGATGCATGATCCTGTCCTGCTCTTGTGATTGTACGATGAGAACCATGCCGATGCCGTTGTTGAATGTTCTCGCCATCTCTCTTTGCTCGATCTTGCCGACATTTTGAAGCCATGGGAAGACCCCCGGCCGCTGCCAACTGCTCAGATCGAGCTGCACGCCAAAGCCTTCCGGCATGACGCGCGGGATATTCTCTGTGAACCCTCCGCCAGTAATGTGCGACATGCCGAGCAGGCCACTGGGTGCTGCCAGGAGCGGCTCAAGTGCCTTGACGTAGATACGAGTTGGGATGAGAAGCGCCTCACCCAGTGTAGCAGGCAGGGGCGCCTCCTCCGCGGAAGCCTGCCATGGCACTGGGCCGTCGTACCGCAACCCTGCCCGAGCGACGACTTTGCGGACCAGACTGTAACCATTGCTGTGCAGGCCCGAGCTGCGCAGACCGAGCACGACATCACCTTCTTTCATTTCGCTCATCTTCGGCAGGAGTGCTTCGCGCTCCACTGCACCGACGGCGAAGCCGGCCAAGTCGTAATCGCCTTCGTGATACATTCCCGGCATCTCGGCCGTTTCTCCACCGATAAGACCCGCGTTGGACTGACGGCAGCCCTCCGCGATGCCAGAGATGACTTGTGTTGCAACTGGAACGGCAAGCTTGGAGCACGCAAAATAGTCCAAAAAGTAGAGCGGTAGCGCGCCTTGCACGAGCAAGTCATTGACGGACATCGCCACGAGGTCGATACCTAGCGAGTGAAGAGGACCGTATAGGGGCAGGTCAGGCTAAATTCGCTCAAATATGCAATCGGCTGAACTCACCGACAGTGTCATGTTTGTTCGCGTCGAGGGCAACCCGCAGCTTGGTTCCCACTCCATCTGTCCCGCTGATCAAGATTGGGTCCTTCATCCCAAGCACTTTGAGGTCGAAAGCGCCACCAAATCCACCAAGGGAAGCATCGCATCCAGGCCGGCGAGTTGATTTGCAAAGCGGTTTGATGGCATTAACGAGCGAATCGCCCGCATCGATCGACACGCCGGCTGAAGCGTACGTGAGGGGAGCGTCCTCCTCAGTAGGTACCTCAGTCGCAGTTGAGGCGGGCTTCAGCGCTCGGTGTGCAATGTCGCGGCGGAAGGTCTTGCCTTGGAATTGGATCATGTCCACGCCCTGGTACGCGAGCGTGACAGCCTCCTGCAGTGTCTTCCCTACAGCGCTGACGGCCAGAACGCGTCCACCGGCAGTGACGACGTTTTCCTTGGCATCCCTCTTCGTACCAGCATGGTACACGTTCACGCTCACCGGCAGTTCAGATGGCGTTGGAATGTTGATTGGAAAGCCGACGGGGTACTTGCCCGGGTAGCCTTCAGATGCGAGAACGATGCTGACCGCGTGCATTCCTTGCTTGACCTTCAAATCAATTGCATCGAGGCGACCTTGCGTGCAAGCAAGCATGATGTCCGCAAGCGGCGTCTCGAGCAGTTCGAGCACGGCTTCCGTCTCGGGATCGCCAAAGCGCACATTGTACTCCAGGACTTTTGGCCCGCTCTCGGTGAGCATCAGGCCGACGAAGAGACAGCCGACGAACGGGATCCCGTCTTTGCGCATGCCGTCAATGGTCGGTTGGAGAACCGTTCGCTGGATCTCATTCTCAAATGGAACGCCCTCAGGCGCTGGGCAATACGCTCCCATTCCGCCAGTGTTGAGACCTGTGTCACCTTCCCCGATCCGCTTGTGGTCCTGGCAACCTGGCAGTGCCTTGATGGTGTATCCATCAGAGAAAGCCAAGACGGAGAGCTCCGGCCCGTAAAGACGTTCCTCGATCACCAAAGAAGAACCAGCCTCTTCGCCAAAAACTTTTCGCACGAGAATGTCCTCCACACCCTCCTGTGCCTCGGCTTCCGACTCGGGCAGCAGAACGCCTTTTCCAGCTGCGAGACCGCTCGCCTTGAGCACGACCGATTTGGCACCACCGAGCTCCTTGATATACGCCAGGCATTCATCGATCTGCGATGCAGTGAAAGAAGAGTAGCGGGCTGTTGGGATCGAGTGTCGCGACATGAAGTGCTTGGAGAACGTTTTGGAGCCCTCCATCTGCGCTGCCAGAGGTGTCGGCCCGAAGCACGGAATACCGACTGAGAAAAGCGCGGACAGAGCTCAGCCTCATGCCTCATCCTGTTCATTTTACTGTTTCTTGCGCTCACCCTTCTTGAAAGCTTTCTCAGCGCCGTCTACGAGCGGCTGCTCAGGACCGGGTACCACTAAGCTAATTCCATTCTTGACTGCCCATTCAGTAATTTCAGAAAAGTCTTTCCCCTTGACTTTGACGTCGGTGAGGTTGGTGCATCGCACATTTGAACGTCCCGCCACACTTTCGTCTGTGCCTCCATTTCCAGGGGCAACGTAGACGTGCTCAACAAGGGGAGAGCGGAGCAGGTGCACGGCGATGGCATGCTCCCGACCGCCCGAACCAAGCAATAGCACTCGGACGGGCTGGGGTTTGGGCAGCATTTGCGTAAATGCGTCTGCCCCTGCCATGGTGGATGAGTCTGGTCTGGGTCGCGTGCAGGTGAAATCCAGTCGCAAAAATCGATGGCCCTAGTTATGGCGGAGATGTACGATGGCTGTCACACCTCGATCAACCCGCCTTTCAATACATGAGGAGGTTGTCAATGCGGACATTTGCCAGGTGAACGAACAACATGCAAGAATTCCAAAAAAGTCACGGAACTCGGAACCAATAATCGGTGCAACCTTTCACATTGATTGAGCGGAAGCGGGAGAGAAAAATCGGAAGGCAAATTTTTTTGGCGCAGGGACGACGAGGGGATGACTTGCATATATAGTTCTTCTTGCTCGCTCCCTTCATTCTTAGACATCTCTGCCTCATCGACTCGGTCGGTGAACAACAGCACAATGTCGAAGAGAGCCGCGTCCCCATCAAGAGCAAGTGGCAAGGCGCCGAGTTCGCCTGAGCCTAGCTCAAGCGCCGGCGGCGGGCCGTCCAAGCGCGTGGCTTCAGGTAAGGCCAAACAGCCAGAAGAAGCAGGCGCAGACACAGCGCCCGAGGGCATGGGCGAGTTTGAAGATGCATTCGAAGATGAGATCGAAGACGAAGAGTATGACGACGACGGAGAGGCAGTTGCTGACGACGAGGAGATGAGCGTCGACGGTGAGATCGAGCGACTTGACGACGACGACCTAGAAACAGAGAAGACTCGCGTCTATCTTCCATCAGCGCATGCAGAAGGCGAGAAGGTCGAGTTGGAGCCGGATCAAACGGCATATGAAATGCTCCATCGTCTTAACGTCACATGGCCCTGTCTATCGTTCGACATTCTTCGGGACGGACTAGGAGTTGAGCGAGGAACCGGCTCTGGCAGCAGCGGCTTTCCACACACCGCCTACTTTGTCGCAGGCACCCAGGCAGATCAACCGAAGAACAACGAGGTGCTCGTTATGAAGGCAAGCAGCATGTATCGGACCAGCAAGGATGGAGGTGAGTCTTCGTTCAATGCAAAGAAGACGTCGGCAATGATGCTTGAGGCATTTGGCTGTATGAGTCTCCTTTGGGAGCTAACTCGATGCCGAAAATATCTCGCTACCTAATTCTTTTGTCTGAGCCCACGCAAATACGAAGTTGTTTGAATCCATGCTGGTCAAGTTGCTGACCACCTTTCTCACGTCCGTATAGATCTTTCTGATGACGAGAATGACGACGAAGATGACGATCTCGATGAAGATGCCGTCCTTGAATATCGCTCAATACCCATCCTCGGAGGTGTCAACCGGGTACGAGCAGCGCCAGTCTCCTCACCGACCTCCGCTGTATCATCAGAGCAGGTTCTCGATCCCTACCCGATAGCAGTATGGAGCGAGCTGGGCAAGGTACACATTTACGACATAAGGCCACTATTCAGCAGTCTGGACCGTGCCGGAACGGTCGACAAAAAGACTGTCAGCACTCCGCTCCACACTGTCGACGCGCATGCAGGAGTGGAAGGCTATGCGCTTGACTGGGCAGGCAGCACACCTGCGTCTCTGCAAACGACCGGCGCAAAGTCATCGACCCTTCGGTTGTTGAGCGGCGACGTGCACTCCAAAATCTATCTCACCACCACCTCAAATAGTGGCTATGTGACACATCCCTCAGCATTTATTTCGCATACTTCCAGCGTCGAAGACCTGCAATGGAGCCCGACAGAACAGACCGTTTTTGCATCATGCTCGGCAGACCAGAGCATCCGCATTTGGGATGTGCGTGTTAAGAGTCGCAAGTCGGTCTTGAGCGTCGAGCGCGCGCACGACATGGACGTCAATGTCATTGCGTGGAACAAGAAGACCGAATACCTCTTACTCTCCGGCGGCGATGAGGGAGGTCTTAAAGTATGGGACATGCGCACGTTCAAGTCCGGCACGGGCACAGCAGGCAAAGCAGCGAAGCCCGATCCTGTCGCCGCGTTCCAGTGGCACACTGCACCGATCTCATCCGTCGAATGGCACCCGTCTGAAGAATCCGTATTTGCAGCAAGTGGTCGCGACGATCAGGTGACGCTATGGGACTTGTCTGTCGAAGCCGATGACGAGGAGACCGGGCTAGGCGGCAACAGCGCAGAAATGAAGGGTCCAGACGGGAAGGAAGTTCCCAACCAGTTGCTTTTCTGTCACCATGGCGCCAGCGAGATCAAGGAAGTCCATTGGCACCCTCAGATTCCTGGTATGCTCATCAGCACTAGTGCCGACGGCTTCCACCTCTTCAAAACCATCTCCGTCTGAGCTGCTCCCATTCATCTTTTGCTTGCATATCATTGTTTCAACATTGCAACTGTATCATACATACCCTTCCCTTGCAGCAGGTCGTACAAATCATCTTCGAGTGGAACCTTCTTGAGAGTATTGTAATCATATGACACGCAGTCTTGGTCGCACGTGCAGACGATCGTCTTCTGCTTGAGTGAGTACGCCGCACCCCGCAGCATGAAGCGGTCTCTTGAGGGGGCAATCGGTAGCAGGATTGACTGAGCGATGATGATCTATAGCAAAGAGCGGCAATGGTACAGGATATCAGCAACGTCCGTCCTGCAACAACACATTCGATGCTCACCGTGTCAGGGTAGCTAAAAGGACCGTTGTGCGTCAAGGCCATGTACAACCGTCAGATGGATGCCTTGGAGATCGCAGGCTTGCGGACACGATTGACTCACACTACGGGCCGCCTGTATCGGATATTTGCCCCAGCCAGGATGAAGCTCTTGCCCGTGCCTTGAATGATGTCTTGCGCTCTTTCTTGTGACAGCTTTTCAGCTAACTTGGCGGCAAAGTCCATGCGTCCCGATTCGAACCATCGTAAGTAATGGACATTATTCACTGCCATTAAGTGGATATAGCGGACTTCAGCATGTTTCGTACGAGTTTGCTTCGCGCTACTCATTGCTCACCATGTCGGAACGCGTCATGGTGTCCCCAGACGACCGGCGTGATGCTGTAGAGAATAGACGGTCAGGATCGTACAGTGATTCAACTGCTACGGCTAGTTTGACCCACTGCATCGATTCAATATCGTACCCTCGCTCGACTAGAAAGGTCTTGCCCTTCGCGAGATCAGCCTCGTACTGGGCCTTTTGCCATGTCAGCTTCTGGGTCCCAGCGTCAGAGATTGAGAGAGCAACTGCGCTTGTGCCGAAAGATCGTGCGTCATGTATTGAGCGCCGCAGAGCATACGTCGGTGCGGCTTGCATCGTTGATCGGAGTCGAGCCGAGACCGTTAAAGCGACCTCCGCAGGCAATGCGCATCTTCCAGCGAGCGAGTTGATCGGAATGCGACGCATACTCATAGTCCAAGTATGTTAGACAACGAATGGACAGGGGTAACTTGGAAAACAGGTTAAGTTGAGTACTATAAATGAGTGTTACGGTCGTGCTCGTGATGGTGATGGGGGGCTTGCTCAAGAGTCCAACGGGCAGATCATAATATGAACCTGGTCATCAACCGGCTCGCTCGTTAAAGTCGCCCACAACCAGAGGCACCTCCGAAAATCTAAAGCCATGAGGGATAGAGGCGGATAATCAAGCTACAAAATTGATTGCAAGCATTTCCTACCACCCTTGCCGTTTGTCAATACAAGGCAAGCATGCGCCATCGCCTGCTTGCTGGCTACAGTCTGCTCTTTGGGATGCTCGTTGATCGCGTCGTGAGAAGAGATAGTCGAGTGGGCGCAGCTGCAGGCTGGCCCTTTGGTGCTTTAGCTGCGGCGCTGCCTCCGCCTTCTAATATAGAAGGATTTACGGATGACTGATGACTCAGAGAGAAGCGACCACTGGGTAACGGTCGCAATGCCTACGCTTGTCGCACATTTAGGCGTGCATCTATGCTACAGATGTGCTCATTGCTATTTGGTGAAAGGTCTGGTACGGCGCTGTGAGCCAGATCGACTAACAGCTTGCGACTGAGACTGAGACTGCGACTGCAACTGACTTTCCTGATTGCCAGCAGGAGACCGCCGGCTTTTGCTGCGAGTGCGGGTCGATGACCGCACAGTCGTAGAAGACGATTCAGCCTGTCGAGGCTCTGCAACATCACCTTCCCGCTGTCGCTTACTCGTGCGTATGCGTGACGTGGTAGTGGACTGCGATTCAGGTTGAGGATTCTGTTGTTGGGATGCAGTGGATGGTGCCTCGGCAGCACTCTTCCGGCGGGTTCTTGTGGGTCGTGAGGGTGTGTGAACGTCGGTTGCCACGTCTTCATCTTCGGGTTGACTCGGCGCGACCCGAAGACGCTTGGATCGTGCAGGTATCTGGGACTCTTGTACTGCTCTGGTTTCCACCTGTTCGTCATTTTGCTGCAGATCCTTGGCTCCTGCTGCCTTGCGCTTCCTTCCTACGAGCTCAATATCGTCCATCTCTGCGTCCATATCGCGTTCCTCCAAGAGCTCAAAGGAGATATCTGCACCTAATCCGTCGTTCCGCTCGCTTTTGCGAGCACTGATGCGCTGGCTTGGGGTCTCGGGCGGAAGGTAGTCGGCTTGGTCGCCGTCCGGGCTAGGGTGACGATGTCGCTTTTCAGATGAGCGGGTCCGCTTGCCGCTTGACATGCTCTCATCGTGAGCGTCATGGGAGATAGGCGGCGGCGTCTTTTGCAGCTGGGCTTCGATTTGTGCGTCGTTCTGCTTTGCTTCAGCTTTGTTAGCTGTCGATGGCTCGCCATCGGGATCCTCGAGCACAATGCCGGGCGGAAGACGATCGCGCAGGACGTAGACCTCGTCGAGAATCTCGGAGCCGACAATGCGAGTGAGAGCGTGGTAGAGGTCATTTGCGAGGTCCTCTGGCTGGAATGATTCTTTGTCCTCCATCTGTTCGCCGGTTGCTTCCCCTTTGTCAACGGCGCCCTCTTCCGCTAGGGCTTCGTGCAGCAAGGTACAGCCCGGAACGATGAAGCTTGGCTGGTTTGCTTGCCGCTCGAGAGTCACATGATGGAAACGACAGCTGTAGAAGCGCCCGCGGATCAGCGCTCATGAGGGCTCAGACAAAGCTCAAATGCCACTCACTGCGAACGTGTGACCCGCCCTTCTGTTGCTGCTGAGTCGGCTAAGGATACATTGTTGCACGTGGAAGTGTTGCTGTTCTTCTGGTGGTGATGGTGATGATGACGATGATGACCTTGCGAAAGTTTCGTGCTAGGCCCATGCGAAGCTGCCGGCGATGAAGCTGTTGTTGGGAGAACTGGCGCTGCTTTCGTTTGACGGGAATCTTCATCCGACTTGCTTGTAGCGACACTGTGACTATTCGTGCAGGGTGCCGACGATGCCGGCAGCTGGGCATCCGAACGTGAGGCTTTGGTGCTCTGTGCCTCAACCGTCCGCACCGGCTCTCTTTCATCAACGTCATTGCCAGGATCGGGTTCATCTGCGCCAGCAGCATCAAAGTCAAACATCTGATCCTCGTCATCGACAGAGTAGGTGGGGTTTCCATTCCCGATAGCCTCCTGGGGGGTGGCGTCGGATACCCCTTTCACCGAAGGAAGCGAGCTTTGGTCTGGGTTGGCATTTTCGATGACTTGTGCCATAGGTGCGAAGGCAGTACTGACGAACGATGGCAAAGATCCTGGAGATAACTGGGCAGCCGCTGGAGCACTTTCGACCTTGTCATGCGGAGGCTCGGTCGCGTTGGTTGCTGTGTCATCCTTGGGTAGACTCTCTTCTGCTTTCTCCTTTTTTGTTTCGCTAGTTTCGGCTGGGAGTCCTTGCGATGCATCGACATCCATTGGATTGTGTTGCGCTGTGATTTCATTCGCGAAGGTGCCTTGCCCAGCTTCGGCCGCGGTTGCCGACCTAGCGGCCGGCTGCTCTGTCGGCAAAATGGTTGGGCTCTTCGTAACAGTCTCTATAGATGTGGGCAGGGATTGGGTGATAGCTTGCAGCATTCCTACTTGCTCAGCGGAAGCCAGCTCAGCGACATGTGGGGTAGCATCCTCGGGGCCAAACAGAGTCAGCATCGAGGCTGCAGGCTGAGGGGTAGGCAGTGAACTGCCTTTTGCTGCAGTTGCGGACCCATGTGCTGAACAAATAGAATCAGGGGCCAGGCCTTTGTCTGCCACTGATGCTTTGAACGCGACAAAATCCTTCCCAGAACTCAGCGAAGTCGGATCAACCGGCTCACTGATATAGTGGGCGGGGGAAGGAACATCGGTTGGGGTCAACAGTGGCGCAGCATGTTGCTCGGTAAGCAGTGGACTCCTTGCTGTTGCTGCGACGGATCCAGCTGCGTTGCGAACAGTAGTGGGCTGAGAGGCGCCGTTTGCTACCGCCGCTTTGGCCGCGAGGGGTTCTGCTCCTGGTTGCACCAGCGTCAGATCAGTCTGCTCAGCGAGCTCAGATACTTCAGCCGGCATAGGTCGGCTCGCTTCTGATGTAGCTGTCGTCGCTGATTCTGAGCCGAATGCTCGCCCAACGCCAACCGCTTTCGTTTCGGGCCCGGCATGAGCATCGGTTGCTGAGGAAGCCGTGACAGAGCCTGCTTGCCAGAGCGTGGAACCTGCTGGTGTGCCGTGACCTGACTTGTTGATGACGCACTTGAGCAAATGAAGCTCCGCACTATCAGCAGCAAGAAGCTCTTTGGTGGTAGGTGCAGCAAGGACAGGGTTGGAACGCGAGTCTTGCACCGAGGATATCGCTGACTTGGGAAGGTCGTATTGGAGCTGCGGGGATTTTGCCAATGCGCTGGAGGCAGGAGACTCATTTTCAGGCTCTGCAAGCCTGAGGTCCTGTGTGCTGACAAGAAGCGACCCGTCGTGCAGGCCAGTGGGGCTTGATGGATGTTTGGAGAGCTGCCCTTCGATAAGGCTGCCCTCTGTCGCGGGAGCCTTGGTTACCGCTGCGCTCGCATCTGAAGCTTTCGCATTGGCCGAAAAGAGGGACGACGACGCATTCTCTCCGGGCTGCCGCGACGAGCTCAGAGCAGGATCGAGTCCGAAGCCCATCGAGTCTGGCGGATATGCCTGGCTCTGAGTGGACGAACCTAGAGTAGGCGGCTCCCATCCTCGGGTAGCAGAAAGGTCCATGCCCCTTTGACAATTAAAAGAGGCGTTGTTTGTAGTCGCATCTGGAGAGAAAGCAGGCGGAGGCGGAGGCGGCGGCCAGCTCATGTCTCCCTCAAGCGCTGTGAAAGCTGGGGGCACCGGAGGAGCTGACGCCAATGCCGATGTCGATGCTGTCGGCATGGGCCACTGAGAAAATGGCGCGAGGCCGGCTGCGGGTGCGGACACTGAACCACCTTCTTGCCTTGGAGGATAGCCTGCAGCAAGCGATGCTGCGGATTGCGCAATGTCAAATACTTTAGCGCCTTCTGTTTTCGACGATGCGTGAGCATCTGTGTCAATGGCATCCTCGCTCTGCGCAGGTCGTGCTGTAGGCGATGAGTCTGGGAACTGGACAAATTGGTGGCCGTCCTCACCTCCCTGCAATTGCACTCTGGTCCGCTTTGAACCGTTCCGGGGCAGTTTGTTATCCTCGTCGTTGTATTCGAGAAAGTCGGATGCATGGATGGCACCAAAGCGCACCAATGTTGCAGGCGCCTGAGCCTCATCCTGCTCCTGCTCCTTAGCACCAGCATCGGCTTTGTGCTCCTTGTCCTCAACGTCCGAATCGACATCCTCATCTTCCTCGTCTTCAACCTCCACGTTCCCCTCTTCCTCATCTTCATCTTCTTCCTCCTCCTCGTCGCTAGTGTCGCCCAGAACGATCGCGTTTTCCGAATCCACACCGGCCGCGTCATCTTCGCTTTGGCTGGAGCCTTCCCCATCCACCTGCGACGAGCCAAGCACGCCGCCCTCTTCCTCGCTATCGCCTGCCGCATCTTGAGGCCGACGGATTGCGATGCCTATGCTGTTGCAGTGCGCTTTTGCTCTGATGTCTTCTTCGGCTTCGCTCTCATCCTCATCATCTGAGTCCCCAATCTCGCCCTCCTCTCCATCGAGCATGTCTTCATCCTCGTCATCGCCATCCTCGACTTCCTCGTCGCTGAAGACACGATCGGACACGGGATGAATGAACGGCCGTGGGCCTGTAGGCGGCAATTTGAGCGTGGGTCGCTGGGAAGCGTCTTTGTACTTGCCGTCTTTCATTTCTTGGTCGTCGCTGTCGGAAGCATTGTATGCCTCCTGCTGACTTTGCGCAGATTCAAAGATCTCCTTGAGAGGCGTTTTAGGCGTCAGTGTGATTGAAGCCAAGCAGAATCAAACATGCTCTCTCACCTGTATCAGAGCACGCTGCGGCGCTTCTCTGTCATCCCATACCTCACTCTCGCTCTCGGCTTCGTGCTGCGGCTGCTGATCTCGTTCTAGCCCAGCTCGTGCCTGCAGTGCAGCTAGAACATCCACGTGCCCACCTGGCAGGACGAAGCGCCGGATGAAAGACGATGGCGCACCATCAGCACCTGCGTCTTGTTCGCCCTCCTCTCCGCTGGTGGAGTTGTCTCCCCCGGCACTAGCGTTTCCGCCTCCGACCGCCTTGAAAGCGCCTTCCATGTCGAGCTGCATAGCGCGCTGTTCCGCCAAAGCGCGGCCGTCGGCGGCTTCGACGCCTCCCTGTGCGAGCATCTCGTGCACAGCGCGCGCTGCATGTCGCGCGCGTTCCAGCGCAGCTGCACCAGAGGTGCCATTCTGAAGATGTTCCGCAGCGCCTTGCGCCGACGAGCCTGGCAGGACGATGCCATCCTCCGCTGCGACGCTTGCCAGCGTGTCGAGCCGGTAGTCGACCTTCGCACTTGGAGGAGGGGATGGTGGCGGTGTAGTCTGCGTCGCTGCTGTGCGGTAGAAGCCGTACTGCTGCTTTAGTGGTTCTTCTGTTGCCTCGTCGGCATAGATGAGCTGGGCACCGGATGTCCCTTGTAGTGATGCTGAGGCGGGCGTCTCATCTGTCCATGCATCTTTGGAAGCCCTCTGCTTGCCTTTCGATGACGAGACAGGCGTCATGGAAGATAAATCTTCCCTGCGCGAGGGCGTCCATGGCATCCGAATGAAGCGTTTCTTCGCCGGTGACACTGTGGAAGCATACGTCAAGCCGCTCGTCGGCGCCGAGACGGGCTTCGAGAGCGCCCTTTTAATCTGCCATCCAAGCCCTTGAAGCCATGACTGCTCGTCGAATGCGTCGTAAACCGACGCATTCCCCGCTGCACTTGCAGCGATTCCGTTGGGCCGCAGCGACCCCGAAGGACCACAAGACTGGCTTGTTACAAAGGAAGCCGCGCTCTCTGCATGTCCGAAGGTGTTATGCGTAGAAGCCGGCGACAAGGAAGACGTTGAGCGCTCGCCATCAGCGCCAGCATGGGCGCTGGTTGAAGGAAGCTTCCGCTCTGCGCCCAACGGTGTGCCGAGGATGTAGCGAACAGGCGATCGGCGCTGTTGCCCTTGACTCGAAACTCGCTGAGGCCCTAGGGACCCGGCGGAGCGATGGTCGGCGTTCATGTTGCTGATGCTGTCTCACTTGGTTCGAGCCACGCATTCAGGCGGCTAGCCTGGAGACGCAGCAAGCACTGTGTGGGCTGCGCAGCGTCCTATGCGCGGTCCTTGAACCTGAGCAGGTCGTGCATGGGCAGGAAGCACGACGCCAGGACGAGGAAGACTCGGTCGATGCAACTACCAACGAAAGCGCGTCGCGTCAACAGCCAACATGATCGCGAAGATTTCGGCGATGACTTATTTCATTCATCACCCTCTCATCGGCGTCCTGACAAACATGAAGAAGCATCTCATCGCCTGTCAACTAAAGTTGCACGATCATGTATGAACGCTGGCATCCATAAGGAATGCGCCGTCCTCGTCATCACCAGCCTGAATCGCACAATGAGGCTTGATCCGCGCTGCTCAGAGCCCGAGTGACCCTGACTCAGCATTGCGTGCCGTCTTGTCAATAGAAGACGCGAGCCATCAGCCAGGCGATGAGCCACTGCGAGCAGGTGGGGTTCTGATTGGCACATCAATCATGCGTCCGACGCAGCCCGTGGACCGTTGCGGAAGATGATTGGAGCTGCTTTGGTTATATAGTAGATCTTGGCATCTCTCGAAGCACTGCGCACGCAGCCCGGTTGCATGACGCTCGGCCGCCCATCACGTCCGCAACCCCTCTGCCTCAAGCAGTGGAAACACATCCGCGTCCACTCCGGTCGGAAGGATAACCAGGGTGTGCGTCTAGTGGCTGGCGACGTGCATCAGCGCCGTGGTTGCTCTGTTCGGCGTGCTCGTGAGCCTCGTGCACCAGCTCGCAGCGACACTTCGACTCGCTTGCGCGGTCATCGGTGAAGTGAATGCCGATGTGCACAGCCAAGAGCCACCAATAGTCCTTCGCCAGTCGGTCTGACTCGGCAGCCGGACCGGATTTCACGTGTGTGCGTCTCTGCACGGCTGTAATTGTGCATCTCAGATAGGAAAAAGCGGGAGGGACCCTCCTACCCGGCTGCTGGGCTCTTCATCTTCCACGGTCCTTTCCTCCCTTTCGTCCCTGCAATCTGCCCGTGCATTCATGCAGCGATCATTCATGCCTACATGAACCTAGCCCACACCTGAAAGAGGTAAGCAAGTCTCATTGTCATGCATTTCGAATCGTCCTTACGAAGGCTATGTCACACAGATCGTGATTGTGGATGTAGGGAGCAGGTGGTTGATAGATGAGGGTGTGGGAGGGGAGGGGGGGGCGGAGCGTATTATCGGGCGGAGCGGGAAAACGGCAGGGTGACCCAAACAAAAATAAAACAGGGGCAAAGCGGACCGCAAGGACGAAAGGAAGGACGGGGCGTACGGTGACTTGGGTAATAGCGGGTGATGGGAGAGCCTGTTGAGTCGTAGATATATGCGAGAGCCGTGGCGAGGGTGGTGAAAGCGACGAGTAGCAGCCGGAGATGGTGGAAGGCGGTTGTCAAGAAAACGGAAGGCAGTGGCGACGTGTTCGTGTACGTGCGTGTGTGTATGTGCGTATTCTTGTATACGCGAAAGCATGTAATGGCGCAGCGTACCCTGACGGCTTCGCGGCCTTCCGAGGCGGACAGCACTTCTTGAAAAGCGCTGCAACAACGAGGCGAACGGCGGTCGCGCATGTACACCGAGCCCCGCGCGCTGTTAGCCAGACAAAGTAGCAGATGTGGAGACAGCGTAGAAGCCCAAGGCCGTCTGGTCCCCGGCCCCCGCCTGCAAGCAGGGTATGTTACCAAATGGCTAGATCACCCCATAGCGCTACAAGCCGCCTATCCCCGCCGCTGTTGCTGCCGCCTCAATCCACCGGCATGCACCTGCACCTCCGCCTGCTCGTCCTCCTGCTTCTGCGCCTGCGCCCCTGTTCCTGTCCCTGCTCGCCAACGCTAATGCTCACGCCCAGATGAGCAGCCTGGCGTCCCAGCTACCGGTGCCGAGCGCTATGCCGTCGGTACTGACACCGAGGCAGCTGACGCGGTTCTCATGCGCGGCGAGAACGCCGACGCGCTCGCCTTTGAGCGTGTCCCAGACGTTGCAGTTGCAGTCGTCGTAGCCGGCAAAGAGCAGGCGGCCACTGATGCTGAACGCGACGGAGGTGATGCCGCAGAGGATGTTGTCGTGGGTGTACTGGTTCATCTCGCGGTCCGCGCGCATGTCGAACAGCCGGCACGATGCGTCGTCCGAGCCGGTGGCGAACGCGTCGCCGTTGGGGAAGAACTGCACCGCGTTGATGTCCGACTCATGCCCCGCAAATGTCTGCACCGCCTTGCCCGAGCGGATGTCCCAGACCTTGGCCATGGCGTCGCACGCGCCCGAGACGAAGATGTTGGGATTTGGGCCGAGCGACAGGCTGCCATTGTCGTTCAAGCCAAAAGACACGATCAGGTCAGGACGCGCTTGATCGAGAAGTATACACACTTGGCGCTTCAACTCACCTCATCACATCGCCAGTGTGGTCATTATACTCTTGAATCCTAACGCCGGCCTCGATATCCCAGAGCATGCACGTCATGTCGCCAGAGGATGTGAGGATCTGGCGGTCGTTGAGGAACCTGCAGCAGGAGAGGTAGCCGGTGTGCGCGGAGAGCTCGCGGGCGACGCGGACGTTGCCTTCCTTGTTGCGGAGGTTGTAGATGCTGCAGATGTTGTCGAGACCGCCGCAGGCGACGAGGTTGCCGCTTGGTGCGTACGCGCACGTCATGACCCATGACGAGCGCAGGGGTACGGCATGTACCTTGTTGGTCGTGTATGCGTCCCACACAATCAACTTGCCGTCCTGTGAGGCCGAGACGAGATGCCGCTTGTCGTTCGCCCAGTGCATCGCGTAGATCTTGGCCAGGTGACCTTTCAGCGTTCGACGCGGCTTCATTACGATCCGAGGCAGCGGGTCTACCTCGCCGGCCATCGCTCGCACTGTTGTGCAGAAGCAAGACACAAGGCGGGAAGCAAGGGTCATCCACGCTGCGCCCTCTTTGCTCGCCACCTGCACGATCGCACTTACAGCTGGTATCAGCCATCACGTCCTTTTTCGCTCTAATCTGCTCCTTCAAGCCATCCGCCTGTCTCCTTGCTGCTGCGATCTTCTCTTGCAAATCTCCTCCCGCGGAGCCGCCGCCAACGCCATTCGCCAAGCTGCCGTTTTGTTGTAGTTGCGATTGCGAGGGTGATGCTGGAAGAAAGCCCGAGCTAGGGCTGCCGGCCATGAATCCGCCTCCTGCTGGGTGCGCGGGAGGCGGATGCAAGGCAGTTGGGCAATGCATATGATGTGATGGGGAGGAGCATCGATTGGCAAGCGATGGAGCGGCAGGAGGCGTTGCGAAGATCCACGAGTAGACACTGTCAGCATCGGCCAAGGCCGAGTTTGGTCTCGAAGCAAAAATAAATAAAGAGCGTGACCATCTACTGACCTTGTGCTGGACTGCCCATCATCTTGGCCAACAGAGTGCGATTGTTCAGTCTAGATGTGTATGTAATGCTTTTATTCGCTGGTATCGATGCAAACACCGTCTAAGATGACTGTGCACTAGCCGCACCCCCGCAGTCGCAGCAGCAGCAGCAGTAGCAGCACGCAAGGAGTGTAAGGCGCAACGCGTGCTGCTTGCTGAGCGGCGGGCCGTGGTATGTACAAGCTGCTATGCGGCTGCGGTGAATGGGAAGTTCCGCTGGGCTGCTTGCGGGAACCGCAACCAGTGCGGACAGCCGAGGCGCAGCGCAGAGCAGAGCAGAGGGATGATCGCAAGCGAGTGAGTGAGACGGTGCGAATGCTTGGGTATGGAGCTAGCTAGCCAGGGACTGTTCTTTCGTCTCGATGAGGACGCACGAGTCGGATTGGACGACGGGTCGACCTCGATGGGATGATGCATGTAAAGGAGGGGGTGCGAGGTGCAAGTCCGTAGGTGTGTGAAGACCCCAGCCGAGGGAGAGGATGGGATATGGCCGAATGCACCATCTCCACTGGGCTGACTGACTGCCTGCCTGCCTGACCTGCCTCTTGCAGCGCGGCGGGTGGACCCTTCGTAGAATATAATGTACATACAGTGTGCATATGGATGGTTAGCAGTGCTGCGCAGTGCTGCCCGCGTGCACAGCGCCGCCGGGCTGCCTGCGTGCTGTGCGCTCGCAGCGCTCCTTTGCCAACAACTCTCTTTCTTTGCAAAGGTGAGCAGCAATACTGCGATACCTACTTACCACTCGCCGCCATACACACCTGCAAATGCACAGCGCGTGTGCTCTATGATGAATATACATGCTACCAGCGATACGCAGCGTGAACCACGCGCATGACCAGCAGCGAGGCATCCTCATCGTACGACAAAGGGAGGGTTGGTGTATGTACAAAACCGCTGGAGGAAAGCGGCACTGCAGAACATTCGGTTTAGCGTGCAGCAGGGGAGCACACACATGCGCTGATCAAATCAGAATACACTGCCATGTCGCCACGGCGTCCTGCCGCTACATTCATAGTCTGCACCACAGCAGAGCAGCAAAGAGTGTTAGCCCGCAGGGTTAGAGATTGCGGGCAGTGTGTCCCGCACGCGCCCTCGGTCGTTGATTGCGGCTGACGCTGCGACGTTTCATTTCCCCGATTCTCCATCATGAAAAAGGGCTTAGCAACTAGACTCAACCCTAATTCTGATATTCACCTTCCATTCCGCTTCCATGAGGCTAACTCAAGATCACCCACCACACCTTTTGATGGTCTCTCCCCCGTCCGCCCAGCGGTTTGAAATGTATACTCGGAGACGCGCAGCTCGCAGGCGGGACGAGGCGGATGGACCTTGCTCTGCGCGACGCATCGGAATGCTCGACTGCACAGTGCGCATACAGACAATTGCCTTGCGCAGGCCTGCGCATTATCGTCGCTGACAAGACAACCAACGGCGCCGTGAGCAGCGAGGGCCGAGGGACAGGCATCAGATGCGGCATGCACTAAGAATGGCAAAAGAGGCTTCGCACGAGCCAGCCAGCACCCGTTGTAGCCATGCTCGTCACAGACGGCGGACATTGCAGAACTTGGTGTGCAGCTTGACCTGCGCACGCAGGGGCTGCTCATTGTCGCGCATCCGGACGCATGGTGTGGATGTATACAACTCTGGCGCCTTCGACGGTTCATGTACTCGTATATAGAACACCGCCGTGAAGACACACTGACTCATAACCAGTGCGGTCTTCCTTAACAATGTGGGCCATGTAGAACCTGGGATATGGCACGTTTGCAGGCTTGTTCGGCCCCGCCGTTTCATGGATTGCATTGGAAGCTCAAACACACGCAATATTCTACTCGTTTCCACCCATGTCTCCCTCCTGTCAAGTTTCGAACTCCCAGCTTTTGAACCGCCCTTGCAAGCCAACGGCGCCCTTTTCCGCTGCTCATGGCAGCGTGTAGCCGCCATCGACAATGATATCGCAGCCGGTCGTGAACGTGCTCGCGTCGCTCGCGAGGTACAAGTAGACGCCCTTGAGCTCCTTGACGTCACCCTGCCTGCCGAGCACGGCACTGTTGAACGCTTGTACCTGCACCTGCGGCGCCGCACCTAGGTCCGTGTCGAAGAACCCCGGTGAGACAGAGTTGACGCGCGCAAAGTCGCGCCACTCGCGCGCGAGCGACTTGCCCAGGCTGCCGGGGACGCCAGGGCAAAAGGAACATCAGATGTGTGCGCTTGATTGACATGCTGTTGAGAGAACTCACTGCCTGACTGCTGCCTTGGTCGAGTTGCTGTTGTAAATAGAGATCCGAGCATGGAATAAGCTAAACCCGCCACCGACCCATGACCAACATTGCTTGGGAGGAGACTCACTAGCACCCCTGGTCCAGCGGGACGTTGACGATGTGGCCGCTCATGGAAGAGGTAATGATAAAGTTGCCCTTGCCTTGCTTCTTGAAGATCTCGCCAACCGACTTGGCGCAGTAGTAGACACCATTGTAGTTGCAGTCGATGATCTTGTGCCAGTCCTCAAGGCTGCGCTCGAGAATGCCGCCTGGGAATCCGACGCCGGCGTTGGCGATCTGGAGAGGTCAGATGTGAGGAGAATGGTGTCAGGCATCTTCCCTCTTCTTACACCCGCTCCTGAGGTACGTTGGCATGACTGGATTAATACGCACAAAGACGTCAATGCGACCAAAGTCCTTTTCTACCTCTTTGATCGTGCGGTCCACGTCCTCGAACTTGGTCACGCCGCACTGATACGCCTTGGCCTTGACGCCAAACTTCTTCGCCAGACCGTTCTCCGCCTTCTCGATTGCGCTCTTGTTTGAGTTGTACCAGATCGCGACGTCCGCGCCCGCCTCGGCCATCGCTTCTGCCACGGCAAAGCCGATGCCTGATCCGGCGCCGCTGATGCATACCACTTTGCCCTTCATTGAGAACATTTGCATGACCGAGTCCTGCGGTAGGGTAGACGGAAAGAGACGCATAGCGGCTCGCGCCGTGTCAGCGAATGGTACATGCATAGCTTCGCAGCGGCAAGGACTGTGACGCCAAAGTCCTGCCCGTGTGTACTTACGGGCAGCTGCGGCGTCGGCCTCGGCACCGGCTTTGCATTGAGATCGATTGGCCAAGACATCGCAACTGTGTTGATGGCTCGATCAAGGGAGCTGGTTGTACAAGATCCGCCTGGTGAGCTGGTGATATGTTTTGCAATAGAGGGGAGTCTACAAAGCGCAAGATGATCCGCAGTGAACCCTTTATGCAATGAAATTGGAAGAGAAAACACAAGGAGGAAGAGAGGCAAGAGTCGTTCGGGGATGGTTTGCTCAACGGAGAGGGTGGGCTCCCTTCTGTCGTTGAGAACGTTGGTTGTGTGCTGTCAGTCAGCCCCTTCTGGAGACAGGATGCCATGCGATGCGCCGCGCTCCCACCCAAGCGGGAAAGGGAGGATCGCAATCAACACGTCTGTTGGCTGGCAGCAGAAAGTGGCCCGTGCGCGCAGACTATGCAGACTCTCGCGCAGTGTGCGTACATAAGCCATATGTGTACGAACTATCAAGATAGCGAGGCCGATCAAATATCAGTTCCGCTGTCTGAGCAGTCACAGTCCTCACACACCACCATTTGGCCTCGCATGTCGCTTTCATCATCGTTCTGTAGACCTTGCGAGACCTCAATAGACTAAGGACATCAACTGTTTTGCAAGATCTTATTTTCAACTCGTAAGGCTCTTGGGGGTTGGCACCCGATGGACGATCAGTTATAGTGTATTGCTTGATTGATGGCCTAATCAAATGACTGCAAGGTGAGCCCCTCGGACGGGGAAAGCTAGGTGGCCTAACCCTACTTTGAAACGACCATATCTATCCTGATTAAACGGCCGCGGGTAAACCGACGAATGCATGTCCACCTTGCCTTCGTTTTCCTGTGCCACGAAGGGTGAAGCCCACCGTCATTCATCGCAAGACCCCACCTCGTCTTCATGATGACTGGTCAGTGGTTGCTGGTTGGCTTGACTTGGCTTGGTGTGAGCGCAGTGCAGCGCGGAGGTTGTGGTAATATCCATGCCAAGCAAAAGTTGCAATTATATTTGCAAAGTGCGTTCGACTCAATCCTCGCCCAGCGCGCAACCGCTCTTCGTTCCATCGTCCTCACCGCATTTAAAACGGTCAAGCGTGAACCGCCAAGCAACAGAATCGTAGCCTTTCTGCTCATTCCCAGGTGCTTACGAGTTCGGTGCCAACATCAAGTGTCTCAAAATGTCCAGCAAATTTACTATTCCGGTTACCATCATCGGGTATGGCAGTAGTGCGAGGTGAGATGCCAAAGCGGCTGGCTCAGATTTTGAGTCATTATCGGTACCATCTGTCCGCTTGTACGCGCTGACCATGGATCCCTAATCGAATGTTACATGATGGCTTGATCCTTCTAAAGGACTTTTCACCTACCCTTCATCAATTCCCTCCCGTCTGTCTTCCGCTTGCATTCGATCCAGCAACGGCCTGGTTCCAAGTCCGGTCCAGACGCTTCACATGCGCACCCAGGCTTGACCATCCACCCTTCAATCGACGCGGTGTTTGGCCAAGATGCTTCGTGCCAGCTCGAACCTTTACCTAAGGGTGGCCTGGCCGTAATCACGATCGCCAACAAGCTGCACTTCCAAGTCGCCAAGCAGGCGCTCTTGACCGGCCGACACGTGCTCTGCGAGAAACCGCTGGCACTCAAAAGCGAGGATGTCACAGAGCTCGACAAGATCGCTAAGGAACGGGGCCTCCTCTGCAGTGCTTTCCAAAGTGAGTATGGATGATTTTTATACCTCTAGAACTCAATAACTAATGAGCACTCGTGGTTGTCTGACATAGACCGTCGGTTCGACGGCGACTTTCTGACGCTAGGCTCCCTATTCGAGACTTCGAACGAGACCTACCTCGGCGAGCCGCTTTTCTTCGAGTCACATTTCGACCGTTTCCGGCCGCTAGCCAAAGGCGGCTGGCGCGAGGAAACACCTGCCGAAGAAGGTGGGGGAATCCTGTGGGATCTTGGCGCGCATCTGGTGGATCAGGGTGAGCTCGCGCGTTGATCTCAAGATCCATGCTGCAACTTGCTGACCTCGGGCTGCTGCCATACCTGGCAGCTGTAAGCCTTTTCGGTGCGCCCGAGTCCCTCCTGGCAATAGTGCGCAACAGCCGCTGCCAGCAACCCGCTTCAATCGACGATTCTTTCCACCTGCACCTCTTCTATCCTTCCCACAGCAAGACCCTGGACGCTAGTGCGCCGGCTGCAGGGACCAAGCCGGCCGGCCTACAATGTCTGCTGAGTGCGTCCGTCCTCGCCGCACAAACGGAGGATGCGCAGCTGCGCTTCAAGGTGCACGCGACGCGCGGCAGCTACGTCAAGCACGCGCTCGACCCGCAGGAGAACCAGCTCAGAGCGGGCCAGTCGCCCGGCTCGCACCCGGAAAGCTTTGGGAAGCATGCGCCTGGCGCGAGCGATTCGGAGCGCCTAGGTACGCTGACGATAGTCGAGGAGAAGCAGCGCGATTGGCTCAAACAACCCAGCGAGCCGACCAAGCCGCCCAAGCTGCTAGAAAGCAAAATCGAAACGCGGCCGGGGCGTTACATTGATTTGTATACCAATCTGGCAGACGTCATCACAAAGGTCAACTTGCTCCCCGAGACGGACGCACAGGCTAGGCGGGAGATACTGGACAAACAAAAAATCAAGAGCAGTCAGGTGGCAGTTGCAATCCGTGTTCTGGAGCTTGCGAGGCAGAGTGCGAAGGAGGGACGCGTCGTTACTTTCTCCATGGTATGAGTTTATAAAAGGAGCAACCAAGACCGTGTAAAGCAGCTTCATGTACAGTACAACCAAAGGAGGAATGCTAAAGGTTATTGGTAGTCCCATTTCTCGAAGTTACGCCTCAGAAACCCCTCTGGCTCAGCCAGTCTTCCACCTCACGCTTCAATTTACCTTCCAAAATGATTTTCCCGCCTGTCGGCACGATGCCCTTCTTGGACAACGCATCGGCGTCCGGCGAGCTTTTGACCGCCTTGATCAGCTCGTATTTTGGCATCTTCCGGCCTGAACGCGGCTTGTACGGCTTCACATCGCGCACTTTGAGCTTGGGAGAAATTGCGGCTTGAACGAGTGTCGGAAGCGTGAGCTGCATGTCTCTCTTCAGGGCCTATGAGTACGGGATGTTGGTGACTAGTGTCAGCTGCCTGTTGAGGCTAAGGCTTTCGACTCGCAAAATCCCTCCGTTGGTACCTGCTGCCTTAGAGCACACTCACATCAACGTCACCAGATACCTTGCGAACGATTGTGAACACCCGGCTTCTGTTGTTCTTATACTCGGTGTAGACTGGGAGACTTGATCCCGACGGTCCGCATCGTTCTACAGTGTACGGAGACACGCCGCTGCCGTCGAGCTGGGCTGACTGCGGGTAGAAGACATTGCCATCTTCGGAGAAATCTTCAGCGGCGAAGTCCGCGCCCGGTGCAGATGCAGGCACTGCAGTAGACTGAGCGTCTCCAGCCGACACCGGAGCACGCTCAACAGGGGATGAAGATTGTTCGGCTGCTGGCGAAGTCGAGTAGGGCTGAGCTGGCTTCCAGGCGATGACCTGGCGCCTCAAACCTGAAGCGTCGCAGGTCGAACAACGACCGGCGGAGACAGTCGCTGCGAGAACCCGGCGAGCGGCGCCAAAGCCGAGGATTTGCTGCCGCAAAAGCGACGTTGCGGCTCGAAGGGAGGACATGTTTGAGGGCAGTGATGCTTGTGCAAGGAGTTTGACCTGGTTCAGGCCGCCGTCTATCAGTTGATGAATACGATGCACATGTACGCCAAGAAGGACGAGCTAAGCATGGCAGAAATTATTTTCCGAGCGTCGCGGGTGGAATTCAGCATGTTCTTGCCAATATTCTGGTGAGAATCGAGGAATGCGTTTGTTCGTTATTGAACAATCTTGAAATTCTTTCCTCGTTCTCAACTCTGGGCACTGATCGCTTCGCCACAGCATCGACAGTATCTCGGAGCAGCACCCTCGCTAATATCACTAGGCGTGCCATTCTGGATCAAGGCAATCGAATTTGGCGGACACCTGGATTCAGAATCATCTCGCTCATTAAGACTTGGGCGATTTTCCTCAGCTTCAGGGTCAATGGCCTCGATTATCTCGCACACATCCGTCGATAGTCGCAATGCGAAGCACATTGAGGACCAGTGGGAAATATATGTCTGTATGTATTGTCGAAGACCGGATGAATATACATGACTGCCAGCCATAGCCTTCCGCTTGGCCTTACAGCCGAAGCACACCGGCCGCAATGCCATTACGACCCACATCTGCAGCGCCTCCGTCCTTGACGCGCGCCTGCGTCTCCTTGGTCTGCTTCTTCCTCTCTTTTGCGAAGGCCTGTTTGGTCATGGACTTCTGCATGCGTCGCGCCTGCTTGGCCTCTTTGGCTGCTCCTTTGCGCGATTTTTTCTCTTCGGCCGTCTCATCGCGGGGCCGAGTGATAGTATCTCGGCATAGTCCTGTTGATTCGATTAGCCAGATATTCAGCACATTTCGTTCTTCAATCTCGCGCTGTGCACTCACCTTCAGTTGCATCGCTATCGTAGTCACTGCCTTCATCTTGGCTGTTGCCCTGATCCTCGCGTTGCTCTTGGCTGGACGCAGCATTTGCCTCTGAACCAAATTCGCTAGGGCTGCCCTTTTTCTTGCCTACGGTCCTGTAACCGACGATCTTCGGGATGCCGGTACGCGGGTCGATCTTAATCTTTGGCACTTTGTCTGCTGCCACCAAATTGGCAGTGCCATTTGCATGGCCGCTGGTGGAGGCACCCCCGCCCCCGATCGAGGCGGGCATGTACGCTGAGCGCGCCGCCATCGAGCCAGTTGGCGCGATGCTAATGCTGTCCTCGGCGCGGATCGTGCGCGGATGGTTCTCGAGGTTGGTGCGAGTCGACAGGATGGACTCGACGTCCCACTTTTCTCTGTTGCTCCCAACGACCCGGATCTCTGGCATGGGCTCCTCCTCCTCATCCTCGGCTACGTCCCGCAGCTTTGCTTCACCCAGCGCCCTGCGCACCAAGTCCAACTTTTCCGCCGGCGTTGCGTTCGCACCGCCCAGAGTCTGACGCATCTTACCGCCCAGCACTTCGTAATCATTCAAGAATTCGTCCATGATGCCGTCAAAGTCCTCGCGAGAGATGGGCTCCCCGTCTTCTCCTATCGCCACAGTTGACTGCGCGAGGTCCCGCGCAGCTTCTTCATCATCGTCATCCTCTTCCCATTCCTGCTCGTGAAACATATCCTCTCCATCATCGTCAGTCGACCGCTGTCCGTACAGCCGCTCAATCTGATCGAAATGTTCGTCGAGACCGCTCAGGCCCTTGTTGCGAAACATGGCGCTTGAGCTCATCGAGAAGGCCGACTTGCCGGCGTCGCTAGCTGCATAGCGTGCTTTGACGCCCGGACGCGACCTATTCTTGCTCTCGCCAAAAATGGAGGATGCGCCGCCTACACTAGAGGCGGGCCGATTCGCCGTTCGCCGCTTGCCTGCACCGCTCCCAGAAGGCAAAGAAGCGAGCTCATCGCCTGCTTCGTCCACTTCATCCTTTTCAGCCGGATGAGCGCGCGTCGTTTGAATTGGCATCGATGTTGGAGCGGGCTCCATCTTTGCTTTGAGTTTGAACAGAGCGACCCTCTGCTCGAGCGTCAGCTCCGATTCATCCACCGCTTTCCCCCTTTCCGCCAGCTCCTTTGCTTCGTCTCCCCATATTCGCTCGTCGCCTTCGGGTGGGAGGTTCATCCATTCCTCTGCGCCCGCATCGTCGTCTGCGCCTTGGCCGTCTGTGATGATGCTGTCGAAAAAGTCGTCCTCGAGGCCTTCATCCACGAATGCATCGTCATCGAGCGCCTCGAGTGTTTGTCGAAGATGCGGATTCATGTCCGGTTGGAAGCCTTGTAAAGAGGGTTCGATCGGCATGTGCGAGGTATAGGAGAAAGGCAGCTCGTTCTGCGACGGAAAAACGCTGGCAGGGAGCTGCAACTTGGAAGATGATGCATCATGCGAAGCAGTGCTCGGAGCATCCTCTTTGAGCGCAAAGCTAGGTGTCTCGCCTTTTGTTAGGTTCTTTTGCTTCGGAGCTTGCAGCAGGATGGCGTCGACATCTTGTTCTTCATCCTTCCCACCTCTCGCAGCATTGGACGGAAGATTGCCTGATCCTCCAGCGCCAATAGGCCGCAAATGTTGCATGTAATCGTACTCGATGTCATCAAAGTAGATCCCGTAGTTGGAAGCTTCGCCGATGTTGCCTCTTTTAGACGCCTGCACCGCGAGAGCAGGCAACTCGCTTTCCAGATCCGCCCTGGACTTGCCCTGCAAGATCAGAGAAGCCATGGCACGATGAAGACTGTCAGCGGCGATGGCCGAGGAGTAAAGGAAACGAGCGGCGTACCTTTGCTTGCGAACGAGCTATATTGGCACGCTCGACTTGCTTCAGAACGCGGTCGCCGGCTTCTGGGTCGTGAATGAGAGGATCTCGTTGAGAACGATGAACAAGCTGGAAGTGCTGCGCCTTGGGGTCGCGCCATCTTGATTTGGACGGCATCTTGGATTAATCAGAGCTTGGGATCTTTGTCGCGATAGCAAGCCTGCAATAGAAGGTATGGGTCTCCAGAAGCTTTGCTGCTGCGCCACTGCAAGAATTCCTTCGATCCAAAGTCTCCGCTGAGGGGTCGCAACGGCAATGGCAAGCTCACTTGACGCTTCACACGACCTTAGTATGGACCGGTCAAGTGCCAAGATGGCAAAAGATGTTGCCGTACAATCATCACCAACCGCTCTCGGTCGATCTCTTTTTGTAATGCTTAACAAGGACAACCATGGACTCCAAAAAAAATCAGAATGGAATTCGGAATTCGGAACAGAAAGTGGTGACATTCTCATTTATCGTCCACACATTTCCTATCATCTCGTCATCTCATCGTCATGCTTCAGGTATGGCCAATGGGGTCGTAGACGCCGCGCTGTTCTGCACCTCGGCATTGACGACGGCGCACGCTATTCCACCCTTTAAATCGTACTCGCACATCGTTTCTCAGACCTCGGCGTCGCAACTGCCAGCGCTGCTCACCATGTCCTACTCACAGCAACGCCTAATCCCGATCCTGCTCGCCACCTTCGTCGGTGTTGCGTCAGGCGTATACATCTTCGACGCACCACTTAAGCAGTACAAGTCTGACACGGACGGTACATTCGATCCCGCTAAGCGAGGCGCGCTGTCCTCGCTCACTGCGCCCCGCTCGAGCGACAGCCAGATCCAGCAGCCCATTGCTGAAGAGCGTGTCGCACCGATAACCAAGGAGGTCCGTAACTAGGTCAAGGAGGCGGTCGGGCTAGGTGTTGACGCATGAAAGGGCGACAAGAAGACATGAAGCGCGTCCTCATGCTTCTACACTCTTGATGGTACTGCAACTCCCTGGAACCGCTCCCCAAGTTCAAAAGAGACCGTCGCCGAATCTTCACAATAATCAGCCAACGTCGAGCAATACCTCTTCGGCGCTTAGGCCTATCTCAATCGGGAGCGGCGGTGCACGTTGCACAAGACTGATTGTGGTCTGCCAAATCCAGCTCAGTTTGGAGTGTCCACCTTCTGCTCCTTTACACAGCGGGCGCAGAAATGACGCACGGTTCAGGCGCACGGCTCCCTCAAGCACTTTCGATGTGTGCAACACATTCGATGCGAGCGTTGCTCGCAACACGATGCAGAGAATTCTCGACCTACACACTACACATACCGGTTCAACAGCGGCTTTACGCTCGGGAGGTGGAGGGAGTTGTGAAGGACCGAGGCATGTCCATTCCCGCGGTGCAGAGGCAGAGCCGGACCAAGTGTGTTTGCTTCTGTCCTTGAGGGCAATCATCCGCATTCGAGGTGTCGGAGAGCATGTACCGCTTATCTGCGTGCGATTCCATTGGCGTTCAACTACATCATCTTGTCGTCAGTGATCCAGCTTTGTTAGACAGTGCGCATTCCATCTTCTCTCTTTTGGCCAGCTAACAGCTTTCCTTCGTTTCGGCTGGGTCTTCTCGGAATTCTGGCCGCCCCAACGCATCCTGAAGCAGAAAGCAATCAGAACACAGAGAAGGAGCCCACGATTTTCTGTAAAAAGCGCTGTGGTGAACTCACAGCCAAAGCCTTGAAAGCAACACCGAAGTCCTTGTTCATGTACAACTCGGTCCTTCCTAGCGCCTGGTAGATCTGATTGGCCAGTTGCCCGAGCGGGACGGGCACGCCTTCTAATCGCGCAGCGGACATGGCCAAGCCTAGGTCTTTCGACATGAGTCGCGACGCGAATCCTCCTTCCCAGTCTCGGTCTGCGGGTGGGGACTTGTCGGTGCCTTGCAATGCGCCGGGTGCGGGGTTGTTCTTAGAAGGCCGTGAGGAAGTGAGAAAGAATAAGAGGACAGTGAATTTTCAGCGTAATCAAGGGCGGAGTCTGCTCCAAAACACCAGAAGAGACGTACAACTTCGCTGGACCAGCATTTACCCGTCCTAGGAAGGTATAAAGGAAGATGAGCGGTGTATCAGTACTCTTTCTCTCTTCACTTATATTGGAAAGCCCGTGTGGACGCACGAAGTATTGAGGATATGCGCAAGCATCTGTGGGCTCAGTCCATGTGCAGTGCCAAGCAGCATCGCCTCGCAGGTCCCCAACATGCTGATTCCGAGAAGCAGATTGTTCGCGATTTTGGCGATGAGCCCATTGGTGTTCTTGCCGCAATGCACCGCCCTGTTACCCATTTTGAGCAGGTACGCCTCCGCCTGCTTGAAGCTCATGGCCGAGTCAGAGCCGACCATGAAGCTGAGAGAGCCTGCGCGCGCACCGACCACACCGCCTGAGACGGGGGCATCGATCATGTCGAATGCGCTCTGCTTCTGCTGCTGATCGGCTCCCGCAGTAGCAGATGCAGACAACGAGGACGACAAGCCCGCCGCTTTGACCTGTGTCGCGACCTCGAGCGCGACTTTAGGATCAAGCGTCGTGCTGTCGATGCACAATGTCGAAAAGGAAGAGTCTGTCGCTGGGTCTCCCAGTGCTGCCAGACCTTCAAGAATACCATTTTCTCCTGTGTACACATCCTTGACTTGCGGCGAAGACGGTAGCATGGTGATGATCGTAGATGACAACTGTGCTACGCCCGCCGGGGAGCTGGCGGGGGAGATGCTGCGGCCCGGATGAAGTGACGTGGTGGTCGTCAAGAAGCGCGTTACTGACTGCTCCGAGACGTCGTGGATCACAAAGGAAGTGGATGGATCCGGGCTCTCCGCGAAAGTCTTGGAGACAATGTTCGCCGCCATTTCGCGACCCATGGCCTGTAAGATTATTTTTCGTGGGCCATGTCAGCGTCCGAGCCCCTACACTGTGGACTGCCATTCGTTGGGTTTAAATGAAGGCTTTCGTCCATCCCGCATCGACTCACGCCAAGTCCGATGAACCCGATCGTCTTCGTCCTGTCGCGCACGGCGCTATGCAGGATGCGAGCGGTAGGAAACATCTTGATGAATGAAAATGTTGGCTTGCTTGGCGAAGGAGTCGACAATGTTGCACCTGGTTTCTTGTACAATGTCAGCTCTCTCACCCCTCTTTTCTTGCACAGCAACTCAGACAACAGAGAAAAGGCAGCGAGGCGGGAAGCAATTTACGTAGCAAAACGCTGTGGTCGCCTGGGCCTCGAGACCTCGACGACGGCAGCCGATCGTAGTGGGGTAGCTAGTAAGAGCTTTGTTGACAGTGTGGGGTGCGCGCGATTAGCCGACCCAACCACGTTTGACAAAAGAATGTCACTAATAGTATACATGGGGAAAAAGAAAGAACACTCGTGATGATGCCACATTGCATATCGCTGCAGAAGATAGCTAAGCCTTTCCCCCTTCCCTACCCCGTCTTCTCGCCATATGTTCATGGTGAACACCCGCAGCATGGCCGCCAAACGCTCCGACGTTGACGCTGCCGACGGTGTAGTAGATGTCAACGGAATGCACGGGGTGTACGCCTCATGATGGCGAATGTTGCAATAAGTAATGCTACATCAACTACGTCTCTCTCACGGCTCTACCGTTTCTTAATAGACGGTGCGTTGGCGGTGAACAGCCTGCGGATTTCTTGCATAGTGATCTCGATCGTCACGCTGCCGTCCGGTAAGACGTCTTTGAGTATCCTAGCGAAGCGATCCAGCTCCTTGGCCGCACCCGCTTCGCATGAGCGCCACACCTGCACCATCACGTCTTCACAAGCGTCGACTGCCACCGCAGCTCCAGGCACAACGGAAAGTTCGTCGTCGTCCGCGGCAAAGTGCTTCTGTACGCGCTTCGACAGAGTCTCCACATTCTTGCGCACATCCTTCGACGTATTCTCCTTGGCGAGGCGCTTGAAGGCCGACTTGGAATACGCAGCGTGGAAAGTGATCTCGTTTGCTGGAGTTGAGCGCAACAGAAGGTCGACCGCGTCGCCAAAGTCCATCAGCTTGCCAAATGGCCGCCGCAGCACGGAGGCGACATAGCAACCGAGACTGTCATTGAACATGCTCTCTGCGCGCCGGACAATCTGAGAAAGCGCGCTTGAGCTGACTTTGCGCAACTCCACATCCAAGTAGTGCGTGTTTTCCAGCAAGAGGATCTGTGAATATAGCACACCCTTTTCATCATCATTGCCACCGCTCGAGGCGTTCGTTAACGCCATCTTGGCCATGGCTTGCAATGCTTCGAAGCATGCATGCGAAAGTTGCTGGTAGTATCCATTGATGACGCCGCGGATGTTCAACATCTCGCTGTTAACGAGCTGAGCCTCGACTCTTTCAACGAAGAGCTGGTAACACAAAAGCAGACACGTCAGCAGCTTGCCAGCGGCACCTTCGTGTAACTAGTATCGCAACGCACGGGCAAGACTTTAACAAAGTGGAGGACACCCTTGCGTTTCTTGCTGCTCAGCCTTGTCTGCTCGATGTTCTTGATCTGCTCGGCGATGAGCTTCTCCAGCGTGTTGGTAAGACGCAAGTAAAGTTTAGAGAGCGTCTTGATCAAAAAGTCGTTGCTCGCCTCCTCAGCCTCGATGATTGCGCGGTCCAGCGCAGCTAGGATGCCAATCAGTTGGCTATCGGATATCAACGTGGAGCGCATTATCAGCTTTGCGCTCGATATAAGATGTTTCGGAAAAGTACTCACATGCGATCATTCTGTAGAACATGATCTGCGAGTGTCTGCAATTCAGGCGCCAAGAAGCCAAAGATCAAGTCCATCGCGCCCTTCATTTCTCTCATCGGCCCTGCGGCTGAGTAGGTGAAAAGGGTGGCAGCCCTTCGTCGGAAGAATGGCTCCAAGTTGCAGTAATCTGCATACGTGACATTGTTGTCTTTGATGTGCAGGAAGTCAGCGATAAAAGCTTGTTCTCTGGTGACGAGCGGCGTCGTTGATGACAGAATACGTGCAAATGTCTTGCGAGAGTTATACGACAGTTGGTCAGCAACGATCTTTTCATTGGAAGCCAGACCTGCGGCTGTACTGACCTCTCCCCCTTGAGCCTCTCCGACGGATCGCTGTGGCTTGTTGCGCAGGCCCATACCTACCCTGCGGACCGTCCCAGCTCTGAGCACAGCAGCGGCGCTGGTCCCGCCAGGTACCACAAAGCTGATCTCATTGTTCTCCTCTTCGGTGGCTTTGCGGATCTGTCCCTTGCAGATGGCAAGCATGCCCGTCATCTCGCGTCGGTAAGCGTCGCTGACGGAAGCAAAATACTGAGCAGAGATACGTGAGAAGAGAGAGGGAGACGTCTCCTTGATGTAGAGCAAGATGCCACAGTAGCCTTCCAGCGAACTCTCCAGCTGTGAATGGTCGTGTATGGTGGGGTGAGGAGGCTGAAGAGCGTATTGTCGATGTGGGTCCGACAGGAGATTTCCGATTTCACGATTGAAGAGCCATGTGAGAAAGTCGAGCACACGTTTGCAGAACCGGTCCGAAATGCTGATGTATTCCGCGAGCCGCTCTGTCGCCGCGGCAACGTTTTCTGCCATATTTCCGTCTTCTCCATCGCCCTTTGCCTGCAAGATGCTCTTGTAGAGCGACGCTGCAGCAGCTTCAAGATCGGCTATGCCAGCTGCCGTTTCGAGTGATGCGTGCTCGAGCGCCGCGACGGTGCTGTCATCGACGTGGATAGTCTGCAGCAGCTTCTCGATCTCATCCGCCAGCACGCGTTGGTTGCTCGTCTGGACTTGCAAGCCGCGGTTTTGGCTTTCGATATGCATGATGTCGTCGTTGCGCGCGTTTAAGCTCGCTTTGAAGGTCGACATGACGCTGTCCATGACATCGAGCTGTCCCAGCGCTTCTTCGATGTGCTGGATCACGTGTGCGACGCGGTCGTCCGACTCGATGAGCGCGTGAATGTTGGCCGCCTCGATCGCTTGCAGCTCGTCGAGGAGCCTCGCCTCGATTAGGTCAGCAGTTTTGGCGCCGCCCAATCCGACAACGCTCATGGCCCTGCTACCAACCATGCTCTGCATGCCGTTCTTGGTCGGGTTCCACTCAAAGTCTTCTAGCATCTCCTCGATATTTAGCAGCGTCACATCCTCGTCCTCATCCATCATATCCGCGCGAGCGCCTTCGATGGCGCGCAGACGATTCTTCTCGCTCGCCTCGTGCGCGTCATGATGTGATCCTGTGCGCGACCGCTGGGCCTTCTTTGTGTGGCGCTTCTTCTTGCCACCCGAATGACCCGCCCCAGAGTCGCTACCACCGCCACCAACTCTATAGCCTCCGAAGCCATCAATCGTCGCAGCAGCCTCCTCATCTGCATCGTCGCCACCCTCCTCCTCCTCGCTCTCCTCCCCGATTGCCTGTACGACATTGCGCATGCCGGTACCTGCAAGCAGCATGCGCTCATACGCTGCTCCTCCGCGCACGGGCTCAATGGAGCTGAGACGTGCACGCGCGCTGCCTGCATTGTTAGCATTTGCTGCCGAACCGGGCACGGAGAGCTTCGATGAGGATGTGTAGGGGGGATTGTGGGCTCCGAATTCGTCGATGGAGGATGAGCTGACGGTGATGTTCGGCATGCCGGGTACGCTAGGGTTATTGGAGAGGCCGGTACGAGGGGCTGTGGCCGGGGCCGCCTCGGGTAGGTTAAGGATGCGGCATGCTGGGGAAGAAGTGGATGCAGAAGCATGGCCATTAAGCAGCTCTTGTCCTCGCGTCGCTTCTGACCGCAGGTCCGATCTAGGTCCTGCCGTCAGACGCGCGGCAGCTGAATCTCGCGCGTGTTGCTCCTGGATCCTCTGCTGCTCTCTCTCAGCTTCCAGATCTTGTTCTCTCTCACGCAGGCGCTCCTGTTCGCGCTCGCGTTGCCGCCGTTGCTCCCTCTCCTTCTTTTCGCGTCGCCGTTCCACTTCTCGCTCTGCCGCGACTGTACGCTCTTGTTCTTCCCGTTCCCGCTCTCGCTCCCGCTCCTTCTCTAGCCGCTCTTGCTCTAGCCGCTCTTGCTCTAGCCGCTCTTGCTCTAGCCGCTCTTGCTCTAGCCGCTCTTGCTCTAGCCGCTCTTGCTCTA